CTATTCGTTATCGTTTTCTTTAGGGTGTTCAATCTAATGTTGCGCCTCAACCTGTTGGATTTGAAGCGGGTTTTAAAGGAGCAGGACAAAGAATTGAAACTCTTCGTCGACAAAACGTCGTTCGTCAAGATCAAGCTGTTGTGTCGATTGAAAATTTTATAGCTGAACTTGTACCGGATATGTAAGTGGATGCCTTAGTCTGTTTCTTATTGATAAAGAATAAAATAATTATAGGTGGTTTGATATTGGTTACATAATCTTACAAGATCCTCTAAATAAAATCGAATTACATTTATTTACACAAGCTGTGAGTAATTTTTTTCAACAATATTACTTTTAAATCTTGACGATAAAATATCTCCATTAAGGTTCCAATCCCAATTGAATATGTTTATCAAGCACGTGAACGAACACCCGCAGATTATCCATTAAAATGGAGCGGGTTTTCGGTGACAATTGGAGAAATATTACATGCACAATTACCCCTTGTCAATCCAGAAGATTGGCACGAAATGATTATTGGTACATCGAGAAGAGAAATTCTTTATAATACTGTTAAATCGTTAGCTTACATGTATCGTCAAAGACTAAATCGTCAATAAAATTCTTAGTTTATTCTGTTTTAATAAAAATACGTCTATATAGGTAACACGGGTTATTAATTTTAAGTTATTTTTCTCAATAATTTTTTTAATTTTCTTGTTCTTGTTTTCTGTCAGTATATTTGTTTACAATACAAACGCATAAACAAGGCTCTATGCATGTATCTCTGTATTTAAGTTTTCGAAAATTAAAAACTATGCTTGGCTTAATATAATTCAACCATTTGTTAAGTAGATAAATGAATGAACCTACTGTAATATACAAAAATGCGGTCACGAATATTTGCATCTAGTATATGTTGTGAAACTTCAAGAATAATGACTTTTGAAGAAAGCCGTACAGCTCTAGCTGATGGGAGAGATGAGAAGCTTTTACTTTACTGTAACAGTCAAAAGACTAATACTGCTATTTTGTATCGGAGATCTGCGCGTGCCCAAGATTTCCGGCCCAGTTTTGTGAAGAAAGGCCGCGATCCGAGTTCGGTTCGACTGCTTTCAATTATTTACGAAGTCTTACACAAAAACATGTTTCGGTCAGCGAGGATTTCTGTTTTGTATATATTTTTCTGTAGTTTTCAGCGCTACCTCTGTCTCTTCTCTAGCACAGAACTTTAGTTGTTTTTTATCTGAAAGAAATGTTCAAAATCCACAAAATTTAAGAAAATAAAGTTGGACTAAAGGTTAGATCGTGAGAAAAGGACTTTAAATGGCTATCTAATTTCTCAAGTATTTTCGAGTTCAACAAAATGTGACATGCGCAACATACATGGATAAACTTTCATACTGAATTCGAATATGATATTAAATTTTTAACTCGGCTGTCTTTCGATCTCATCAACGCTTTTTGGCCAGAAGTAGATCATTAGTTTCCACTATTCGACAACAGTATTGGTTAGACTCTTCATCACATTTTCGTAGAAACAGATATAATTGAAAAAAAATCATCTTTAACTAAAGTTTATATATTATATATTTCGAACCTTATCTCTGAATCTCTGACAGGTTTTTCTCAAGATCTCGAGGATCTTTTCAAGTCTGTTCGAAATCCAAGTAAGATATATCATATTCAAGAGTGGGATCAATGTAGCGTTAAACATGTTTGAGCGTATTTTCTCACGTGTTAAAGCGAACTTCTTATGAGACCACGTAGAACTACAATGTCAAAAGGTTTAACTATGTTAAAATATAATTTTGGTTTAATTTCGTAGCATTTTTGTTTCCCATTTGTAGGAGTAGGAGTTTATTTTGTCGAAGCGGCAGAGTTAAAACAAAGAGACCAAAGGAATGATCACCCTTTTAAGGTTACACCGGCTAAGAAAGAGTTAAGCACACGCACTGAAATACAACAAGAGTAATTTGTGACTTTTGTTCTTGTTTCATTGATATGTGATGTAACTAGATTTTTAATAATCAGGCAGAAAGAAAAAATTTTCTATGGGACTTGGACTTGATTTGTATTTGAAAATTGTCGGCCTTTCCCACCTTAACCTTTAGTCCAACTTTATTTTCTTAAATTTTGTGGATTTTGAACATTTCTTTCAGATAAAAAACAACTAAAGTTCTGTGCTAGAGAAGAGACAGAGGTAGCGCTGAAAACTACAGAAAAATATATACAAAACAGAAATCCTCACTGGCCGAAACATATTTTTGTGTAAGACTTCGTAAATAATTGAAAGCAGTCGAACCGAACTCGGATCGCGGCCTTTCTTCGCAAAACTGGGCCGGAAATCTTGGGCATGCGCAGATCTCCGATGCAAAATAGCAGTATTAGCGTCTTTTGACTGCTACAGTATACATGAGAATGAGTTACGAGAGAATATTGCACCGGTGTTATTTATTATTATTGTTGGCTGATGTTCACGTCAGCTATCCATTTGGTCTTATAGCATGAGTTACTGAATTACTGGAGAGCATCAACAGTAAGCATATCACCAGAAAAATGACCCAGAAGATTTTCTATTTTTGACGAGAGGTATGTTATTGCTATAATATTGCTAATATTATTTTTTCACGGAAATTTTTTTGTACCGTTTTCTTTCAAAAATTTTCGTAAACTTTTGGAAGTACCGCTTGCTTAAAACAGAAAACCTTGTGAGTCTCATACGTCCTCCTATAACATATGTGCTCACAATAACATATTTTGACTGTCCTCTAAACTATTTAATATCAGATGAAAACAGCGTAGCAAGTCAAATTTTGTCTTGACCCTCATCGCCAGGAGAACGTTTTTGGCTATTAGCACAAGAAAAACCAAATAATTGCCATAATTGTTTGTCTAATCACCGTTTAGAAAACTCAAAAAGCACTTTCGAAATGATGTGTCCTACAAAACCTCTCTCGCACACACTTTAATCTTTGTGTAAGAGTAAAAGTAAGTATGAAATGACCTTTAATCGGTGGAAATAAAAAAAACAATATTAGTCAGTCTTAAACAAAGCAAGTAGACTTAACGAAAGTAACATTGTTTTCAAATCGGAGTGGCTATTGCCACTTTCTGGAAGTGGCACCAGCAGCTGAGAAGGCACGAAATTTCAACTACACTTTGATATCATCCTGACGAACGACGTTTTGTCGACGAAGAGTTTCAATTCTTTGTCCTGCTCCTTTAAAACCCGCTTCAAATCCAACAGGTTGAGGCGCAACATTAGATTGAACACCCTAAAGAAAACGATAACGAATAG